ACCGGCGGCGCCGGGAATCGCGCCCCGCTCCGCGGCACCAGCCCGAGCCGCGGCGCTTGCAGAGCTCGCAGCCCGGCACACGCGTTAAAGGGCTTGGGAAAAATGCCATGCAAAGGCCAGGAAATGCCAGACACGAACTTTTCCAAAGCAGCCCAGCTGTGGCTTGGTCACACGTCCTGCACCCAGCTCAGGGTGCAGATTAAGTGTTCATTAAACATGCAAGATGTGCGGGGAAGCCCTCGAGTGAGCGCTGCAGCAGAGACCCCAGCTTGAGGGTTCTCCTCCTTGTCACGCACTCGCTTCATCCTCCAGGAATGGTTGGCTGTGCTTCCAAAGACACTCGCTATTTGCAACTCCCACTGAAGTCCATGAAATTGACTGCGGCTTTGTATCCTTAAAACATACCCCTACACTTCCCTTAACTCAGGGTCTGGGTTTTTTTAAGGAAACAATCAGTACTTGTGCAGTTCAGGTCTCTCAGAAGACCTGAAGCAGGGCTGATGTTCAGCGCTCTCAGCAGGGGCTGAGCCTGAGGACACAGGAAAATCTGCACGTGGAAGGGGAGGGAGGAGATCAGAGGGGCTGCCTCTACCCCTGCCTCCTTCCATCTCCCGTCCRCCCTCAGCTCTGCTGTGAAACACAGAATTTGGAACACAGTGCTGCAAAAGTGGCCAATGATTTAGCAAGACTGCGTGTGGACTGGGCGATGATCTGGATATTGGGACACTTTATTCATGGGAAAGCTCCATTTGAGGCACGCGGGAAAGTAAACAAAACTGCATCTCAGAACTGCAGCAAGTGTCTATTTGGGGCTAGACCACTTTTCCCAGGCCGGGGACGTTGCTCTCGCGCCKCTGCCCTGGCTGCTGGCCCAGGCAGGACGCGCTCCTGGCCGCCTGCAACGCGGCTCTGGCTCCGCGCCCCACTGCACTCTGCCCTTTGGGGCCTTGGAGGTTATTCTGTCTTCACTGCAGAGAAAAATAATGATCTTTCCCAAAGTGGGGTCRTGCCTTGCCACCAAGAGCAGACTGAGGTGATCTTCCGTGTCCTCTGTGCTCATCCACAGCTGCTGCATGCCTAGCAAGGCATGCAAGAAGAATAGGAAGAAAAGACAAATTCACATACAAAATGCAGGACATCCATGAAAAAAGGCTGTTGAGATGAACCCCACATCTCTCAGCTGTTATTCCAGTCTCCACGAAAACTTAGGTGGAGATCTATGCCCAGATTACCCTTGGTTTGTATTCTCAAGACGATTTACAACAGCAGCAGCTGCTGACTTACTTTGTCACTATTTTTAATGAAAGCCAATTTTTTAGGGACGATGCTGGGGTTCAAAGTACCTCTTGCTGCCTCACCAGCAGGAAACTCTAATACATATGCAGGGAAGATGCTGCTTTAATACAGCTTAAAGCTATGAAAGTCTACTTATTTTCCTTTACTCCTCGTTTTCCTCTTTCCACATTAGACCCATGAAGTGAATGTTACTTGGGTGCTTTAAAGCCAATCACTTGATCAGGTAGCCCAGAAGTCACAGAGCTTTATGCATACAACACGAAAATGGCTGAATTCTAGCCAAATTCTCCCCTAGAATTTAACATATGGGCATCTAAGAGGAATTGGGAAGAAGCTGGGGGCAGAGGGGRAAGGCATTTATAACATAGATAAGAGCCATTAAAGAGTATGAAAGTTGAAAGGCAGACTCCTCACTCAACCTCAATTGTASACTTGGCCACCAGTGAATGCTCATTATCTTTGTAGCCCTGTAATAATGGAGAMAAACCTTAAAACTCATCCTTATTAGTTTGCAACAAATTCAACATGGAAACAACTGGAGACATAACTGGAAAACACCAAACAAAAGTGAAAAACAAGATGTTCCCCCTGGGGAACAAGTTTATCAAAAAGACAAAATAGAAGATCCACATTCCCACTGCATAGTTTTAATAAAACTTTTCTTGGACCACCTTTGTACAATAAGTTATGTAAACTTGGTCTCCAGAATTACTTTTTATTTGCCACTGACTGTTTGCATTGGCCTCATTCCTTCAAAGAAGATCTGCCTTACATTATCTGGGCTGGTATCAGCAAACTCTGCTTGTGGAGAAACGCATCTCCCACCCATGCAGCCGCCTCGTCAGCCCTCCCGGAGCCAGGAAGCACCACTCGGGATCGCACTACAGTGTTGCCGTATTCACTTCCTGGAATCTGATACGTGTTCAGCCCAAATTGTCAACACAGTAACAAAGTAATCCCCCAGGCAAATCCTCCAGACCCACAAACATGAATTACCTGATTGAACTCCRGGCACTAACAGGAGATAATATTTATAAGAGAAAATCCTTTACTTTTAAGAAACACGAGATACCTACATTAAATCATCTCCTAATTTAACTTCTTTAAAGAACCAATCAATAATTCAATATAGGTTTATATATCCTACATGTATAAATACAGTAAAGTATATCCATATCTATAGATATCCTTCAAGATGCCTATGAAGTTTAATAAATCATATTCTAAATACATATCTAATTATCACCACTTGCATATATTGAGTCTTTGCATGATCTTCTCAATAAATCTTTTATCTTTTAATGTCATACATTAAAAAATAAAGTAAAACACTTAAGTTGACGCCTGTGGGAGCAGTTTTCCTTTGAGGAAGCCGAGCGCAGGTGCCGCTTTGCGAGGGCGCAGGTTTGGGGAGCGGGGGGATCTCCTGCACTCCCGCGGCCGGCGCTCCGGGGCAGTAACGTCCCGTGCCGAGGCCCATCTGCCCCCGCGGCACCTTAATAAGGAGCAACGAGCTCCTTAATTACCCAGGCAGAGACCAGCAGCAGCTTCCAGTCAATATGTCCTACCAAGGAGAACGAGAAAGGAGATCTTCTTAATCAGGTCAACTGAGACATCCAACTAAGACTCATCAGGCCATTACATGTCAGTTTAATATGAACAGATTTACTGTTCACTTAACAGTAAATATGCTGGTTTTTATCTTTGTGATCAGTTATATGACAATTTATTGCACAGAAATTTTTTAAGTTCAAAATACCTTGCCCATCTGTTTTATGTGCTATATAGAAATCATTTGTACATATGTATTCTATATTCTCTACATTTTCTATAAAGCAATAGTATCATTTCTTTTGAAGTGGAAATCAGAAATCTATACTATAGATAAAAAATTGTAAAATTTAAACAGATTAASAAAGGAGCTAGGTGAGTTTAAATGAACGTGTCCTCAGTCTGCACAGTTCTTGAAGTGAAGACACCATGAAGTGTCAACATTTCCAGCAGTATCAAGGCAGCATTGTGGTCTGCATGTAGTACTTGCAAATTCTCACAATCTGATAATTTTTAACACCTTTTGTTAGTTACAATTGCACCCTAATCCACCGTTGATAGCAAGTATGCACCTAGTAAATATTTACGAGCTATAGTAAGACTTGCTTTACTATGCAATCTTAGTGTTTTATCAGTGTTTTGTATGTAAATTAATGTATAAATACAAGACTAGAAATATTTCCGTGCTTCTTAATTTCAGTGCATAGGCAGTTGAGGGAAATTATTTGGGYGAGTTTCTAATTGATGCAAAGATGACAGCTGACAGAGTCTAACAGCAGAATGAAATATCTTTCAGCTCTACTGCTCAAATCCAGCTTAGCGCTGCGGAGACCAAGCGCTCTGAGCTCATGTTGATTATTCACAGGAGCATTTTTAAACAGCTGATGGTCGTAGMCCCATTCCCATTTCAACACAAGCACCTTGCAACTGGCCTCCGTGGTGGCAGGTTCAGAGAAAGGAAATAGTGAGGGCAGAAACAGAGTTATTCTTTGTATTAAAAAATCCCCCCAAGAAAGGTTTGAGACACATTCCTGACACCACCAAGGGAAGATACCCARTTCTTCCCACACTTACTGATTACTGTGGAGAATTTTTGAGTCCAGCAGGTACTTTCTTAAGTATGAATTTCTAGCGAAGTGCTGGGGTCAAATGATTATCTCTCAGCCTGCATATATTCTGCAGAAGGAAATCACTCATTCAAGTCATTTGCAAGTAAAAGTTTCTTACCAGATTGAGTGTATTCTTAGCAAACATTCTCAGCTCTTCTGTTTAGGCAAGAATATTCCCCTCATATGTCTGCTTTAAATGTTGTGGGGCTTTCACTACCTGATGGATCTGGTAGTCATTAAATCTGCCATATAACATGCATTTCTTGGCCATATTTGAAAACTATTTGGAAAAAAAGTTCTATATAAAGCAGTAAGAAATTGATTTTTGCTATTAGTCCAAAYAACTTCATATTGTAATTTTTCTGAATGAGGGCATCTTGCAGTGAGGCCAAAACCACATACAATTAGGAAGTGATCTTTATTAAAATAAGGAGACATTCAAAGTGTGCAAGTCATTTGGGGAACTGTCTGCTGTGTTTACCAAAATAATTCCAAACCAAAAAAGCAAACAGCACTAAATATTAAAAGAACAGTTTTCGGCTGTTTATTTATTATGAATTAGAGCCCTCTGAATGTACTGGCTTCGTTAGGAAGACTGTGTATTGACAGACATTTTATATGGAAATTAGTTACCCGAAGAAAGCCTGTCCCTCAGCTGCACAGGCAGTAGTTGATCTACCAGTAGCCAATAGTTGTGGTAAATCTTTATATTTATTTGCATACAGAAGATTTAAAAGCCCCAGAAGGCTTCCCCTATYAGAACATCCTCTCCCATGTTTTCAGATTCTGCCTGGCATAAGGAGAGCCCAGGATGCCCCTATCTGAGCATGCAGGTGTCTCAGGCCAGAAGTTAGTCCTGCTCTTTTGTTTTAGGGTGTTTTGTTTAGGGGTGTTTTGCTTGCAACTAATTGTATCAGACAATTGAGCAATACCTGCTTTTCTTCCTGGAAAAAAAAAAGAAAGTTTCCTTCTTAATATACATTTCACTGATTAGTATTCTTCTATCAAGGAAGAAAAAGTATGAATTTTAATCTAAGTGAAAGGTCTGAATTCTCATCTAAGCCTATGGCAAAAAAAGTGAAGATGATTTCACATACATTTGTTGTTACACCTCTTTGTCGTGCARCTTGATCCGAGGTAACAATTAAAACATCATAAAGCTCTTTGGCAGCTTTCTTCATTTAAAGTTAAGACAAATGACTGACTTATTTTTGCGCTAAATATAAACAACTCTGACAAATGTTTGTAGAGCCCTATATATATTTGCCATTGTTGACTCACCATTGGATGACAAGCAAAATAGACAGAGCACCACGTTGGACATAATCTCCACATAATACAGGAAACTGCCGGAATTCTTGGGATGCCTCCTGTAGAAGTCACAGAGTTTGGTAACTGGCCAGAAGAAGACGGGAGAAGGAAGTGACAGCTCAAGAGAGCCGAGGCCACAGGGCTGTCCTAAGAACAACAGGCTGATCCAGCCGCGTGTTGCACAGCAGATGACACCAGCTATTGGAGCTGGTCCAGAGGGTGTCACTCACCCCTGAAGYTGGGCACGGAGCTGGAGCAGAAGAGCCACAGAACTCTGCAATGCAGAGATGCCAACAGCCATGAGCCCCCTCCCTGCTTGTTTTGGGGCTTCAAAGCTCACTGGTGTGAATGGGAGTGCTGGGTGCACAGCAACTMCCAAATGCTGCTTTGCATTTGCTCCAGGATCAGACCATTTTATTCTTAACATTCAAACACACAAATTAAGTCATACTCATTCACATAGCAATTTCCATCAGCTGCCTTTTGTCCAACAGAAYGTCATCTTGCTTCACCCTCTGCTCTTGCTGGAGCAAAGCAGTGTGTGCACACTATTACTTATGCTTGTCTCAAAATAAGTGCAAACCACAGTGTGCTGCCCTAAGACCTGCATTCTGATACAGCAGTCAAGTATCTCAGTGCTACATGGACTCGCACAGTTAGGAAGGGACCTCAAGATGCCACCTAGACCTGCCCACAGCAGGTCCCAGTGGAACAGGTCCTCTRGCAGGAGCTCAGCTCCATCTTCTCTACCCCCTCTTGCTACATAGTTGCAGGTTACAGTAGGAGCCTCTCAAACCATCTCCTCCTAAGCCCAAGCAAATGAAGTTCCTTGCATCTCTTGTTCTAGCCCCCAACCATCTGAGCTGCCTTCTAGTGGACTTGCTTCAGTATGTGACTGTCTCCTGCAATGAGGAGGAACTGGACACAATAATCCAGATGCAGACTCTCAAATTCTGAAAAGAGGGAACTAATCCCTCCCCTCAGCTGCTAGCTTCCCTTTTGCTAATACAGACAAGAATGCAGTTGGCCATCTTTGCCACAAGAGCACATTGCTGACTCACGTTCAACTTGTCCACCAGGTCCCCCAGGTTTCCTGCTGCAAAGCTGCTCTCTGGCCTGTCAGCTCCCCGCCTGTACTGGCCAAGGCCTCAAACAGACTCCCCCTTCTCACATTGCACTTGGCTGAGTAAAGCAGTTTGGTGGAYGGAGTTCAAGGTCAGTCCTTTTGCTGACAAGAGCGGTTTGTGCAGAAGAAAGCTAGAAGCAGCCTCAGCAGGAGGCTGCCTCTGCTTCCCTTGGGAGCTGCTTTTAAGCAGGGGTTTTGGCACATAGCTACACTGCAGCTGTCCTGAACCCACATTTGCACCCGGTCTCGCACCATCTTGCTGCTGGCCCGGATCTCAACCCTCTGACTTGSCTTCCTGGCTTAGCCTCAGACCCACCTCACCACCCCAAACTGGCTGGGCCATCGCTAGGGCAAGCCTGGCACTGACCACCCTTTCCAGACCTGACCCTGACTCAGCAGCCCAATCTCCTGCCAGTGGGGCCGCTACCCTGCACATCCTGCTGTCCCCTCTGCTTCTGCCTTGTCCCCCCTGACCAGCAGCCTGCGCTTGTGGGGGCAACAAATGGAGGCCCTTGTCCTTTCCAGCGTTGCTTGTGACTAGGCCCCTGCCACACGGAGCAGTCAGCCCCCATTTGCCTTAGTCTTCCTGCCAACAAATACACACAAAGCCCTTCCTGTTGCCCTTCACATCCATTGCTAGTTTCAGTTCCAGCTCAGCCTTGACTTGTGCAGGTTCCCCTCCCCTGACTCTCAGGCAACATCTCCATGTCCCTCCCGGGGCCCTGGAACTGCTTCCTCCTCCTGCACGTCCCCTCCCGGCATGTCCCCTCCCGCCTGCACTGCCCCATGTCCGCGTGCTGAGCTGGGGCAGCAGAGCCTGCGCACCCAGCCCGCCTCCTGCCGCCTTGCTCCCCTTCCTGCACACCGCGATGGGCTGTTCTGCTCCAGGGAGCCCGGCCTCTGAACCAACCACCCCTCCTAGACCTCTTTGCTCTCCACACCCGTCTCCCATGGGATCCTGACAAGATCCCTGAATGAGCCAAAATCTGCTCAAGTCCAGCTGTTTCTCACTCACTTCTCCCAGGATTTTAAACTGAACAGTCTCATGGCCACTACAGCCAAGGCTGCTCTTGACCTCCACATTTTGACCAGTTCTTCCTTGTTTGTAATAGGGCCAGCAGAGATCTCCCCTTGACTGTTCTATCAACTCCCTCAAGAGATTGTCTTCAACACCTCGCAGAAATCTTGGCTGCTTCCATGCCGCTCTGTTACCTTTCCAGCAGTTATTGGGAGGTTAAAGTCCCCTTAGGACTACCAGGGCCTGGGATAAAGAGGTGGCCAAATAAAATTGAAATAATAATTCAAGTTTGTGAACATATATTTAGACTGCAAATGCCCCTTCAAAACACATTATGCTATACAGAAAACATCCTCATCACTACCACTTCTTGAAGAGGTTAACCCTGGGATATTTCTGTCCAAATACTCACATTAACATTGTATGAGAGCTGATAATCACCTGAAAATACTGATTTCCAAGGATCTTTATTTCTGCTGCAATTTCCTGAAAAGAATATATAAACACACACATTTATATACATACATTATATATAGACACACACACTTAGGGACCTTGTACATGATAGCATATAATTACACTAACATAARTTGCCCTAAGGGATGGGTTTCTTCCCTGTATTATCTCCTAAATTTTTTTGAAGCCACCTGTTGAACATGTTTTGTTTCCAGGATATACTTTGCCCTTATGACTCACTGCTACTGATGCCCATTTCAAAAAGTGTTGTGAAAACTATTACCATTCAGCTCTTCACAGTTTGCTCATGTCATCTGGCATTGGTTATTAACATTCCATTTATATATGTTAATCAGGGTTGGGGCTGTTCCACCGAGTRCAAACAAGCTCGATTCAGTTCATCTGAAATTTGCCAAGTGAAAATATTTTGAATAGTTTAGTAAGTGTTCCTAGTACTGGCATTTACACTTAACATTACTGACATATATGATAGTGACACATGATGCCACAATCAATCCTAGACATTTTTTCCTACTTTTCCTATTAAATTACAAAATCTTTTGCACAACATTCTTTCTCAAATAACATATAGTAAGCTTGGCAGCAGGAAGATGCAGGGAATAGTTTTACAAAACAATATGTCATTTTTCTTTTTCACGGAGCATGTGTCAGCCACTAGCAGACTCAGAAGATCTAATCCATATGAGAATTCATCAAATGTGTTAGAAAATACAGCCAGAATCTTACAAGAGAAACTTCTTTCTTGAATTTGTAAATTTRGAGTTGCAGTTTGGCCTAATCCATCATTCACTGGAGTGAATGAAAAAAATTAAAGATTCTTCTTTTCCATAGTGCAAGTATAGAACATTTCCAGGCACTAGTTAAGTGAATTAAAAATATAATGAACTGTACGGCCTTTTAAATGAGCTTCTAATTTAATCTGGAAATATGGTGCATTGTGATTCTGATGCAATGCATCTTACATTCAATTTTGTAATCTATAAGGAACACTAAATTTAGATACAATACAGAGTGTTCTAGTAGCAGGCTACTCAACCCATAGAAAAAAAAGTTTGATGGCAGGCAATAATACGTGCTAGAAATAGTCCAATTGCAGCGCTCTTAAGCGCATTCAAACGCTGTGGGCTCCCCTTGCYGCTCTGGCAGGACTGCCTCCTCCACACGCGGGCCACGAAAAGCTCCATCTCTCATCACAGGGTCATCAACTCCTAACTGCAGCAACCAAGAGAAGGAATTTGCTAGAGGAAAAACACATTGTATTCTATGGTAAGATGACRTCTGACCTGCTCAGGAAGCTCAATGAGTATTTTCAATAAATCTAGACATTATCCTTTGGCAGAATATCCCTTCTTTGATCATATGTATAGCACAGAAGAATGTTATCAAACTCTGCCAGTAAATACACATATATCTAATTTGTTTTCTTTTGGACTCATTTAGAAGCAAGAGAGCAGCCTTCCTGTCCTTGAAGCAAGAACGTACAGGCTCTCACTCCTTSCGGCAGAAAGATCAGCACAAACCACCTTTAACACATGCACCCTCCAGCCCATCTGCTCTTTTCGGGGGCACGTGGAATCCTTGCAGCTCMCAACCAGCCCGCAATGTCACGGGGCAGCATGTTACCACTCCCATGCCCTCTTCCTGAACTGCTCCCTGAGTTACACAACCCTCCCTASCAAACCAAACTGACCGGGGACATGCAGGGACTCTCAGACAGCTCCCTGCCCTACTTCCCGGTGACAATGCGCACAACTAAGCAGCTGAGAGCAAGTGCTTGCAGGGCCACGTGATGGAAATACCTGAAAAGAGAGAATCCCTTTCTTAGCACCTAAAGCCCAGCCTACAACCTTCTCACAGCTTTGCAGAAAGTTGTACTAYGAAAGCAAACGGACAGGATGCCAAAACCTGGGACAAGCGGTGACTGACTGGGAGCTTGCWGGGGAACCCGCCTGGCTTCCTCCTGCCTCCTCGCATCTTCCTCCCTCGGTGCAGAAGCGTCACTGCACTAACATGGACCGGGGCACAGGCTGCTGAACRACACGCGCTCACAGCGCAGAACCGGTCTGACTGAAACCCTGCGTGTTTTYCTGCATGAGCCAGCACACTTTCATAGAGTGAGAAACAGAAACAACAAATGCACACTTCTATTCATTATGGTCAATTTGCCTTAAAAATGGGTGTTTTTCTCTTTCTTTAGCCCTACTTTCTTTAGAGTTTGCTGTCCATTGATTTGCATCTCTAGAATGCTTACAGTTTGCAAGGTTTCTGTCTGTAACATGGACCACTTACCCTGAGAATGCTAATACTCTGTGAAATGGAAAAAACTAATTAGGTGTTCAAAAATTCAGCAATCATTTGGGTATAAAAATGTTGTTAATGAACTTTTTCTGCAACACAGGA